ACGCTTTTTTGTCCAGCGGGTTCGCTGTTTGACATCTTGAAACGAGAAGGTCGACCAGCATTACCACAGGATGATGTTGGTATGATGTTTCGACAGCTGGTCAGAGGTACTCGATATCTTCACGAAGATGCAGGTATCGTTCATCGTGACCTGAAGCTCGAGAACGTCCTCATAGATGAGTCTGGCACATGCAAGATTGCGGACTTTGGGATGGCTAGAAAGATTGGTGAGGTTGTCGAAGCCGAGGAGGAGGAGGAGCACCAAGAGAACTCAGATGGCTGGGTAGACATATCGCATGGTCTTCATCGTGCTGCCTCTGTATCCTATAGCGCTCCACAACGACCAGTTAAACCTAGACTCCTCCATAACTCCCTCATACGACCGCCAGGTCATGGTCCGCGTCATCGTAATTCGACGACCACGTCGGCGCAGCGTGGTTTGCCGAAAGGAACCTTTCAGCCAGGTTCGCTACCTTATGCTTCTCCTGAGCTTCTTCTTCCACCGTTGAGCTCCGAGCCTCCTTCTCCACATCCTGCTCAGGACATGTGGGCATTAGGTGTAATGCTATACACTCTCCTTTCCGGTCGACTGCCGTTCGTCGATTCATTTGAACCCCGGCTTCAAATGAAAATCATGCATGGTGAGTTTATCGATACCTTGATGGTTTATAAATTTTCATTCTTTATAGGGGTTTTTGATATGCCTTCTGGTGTCGGTCGAAGTACCGAACGGATTCTTCAAGGCCTAATCGAGAAGAACGTAGAAACTCGTTGGACAATCGCCATGGTAGACGAAGTCGCTTGGGGTGTCGGATGGGGTAACGAAGGTGATAGTGTTCGTGGAACTGACGAGGAACTGCGGCAAGAGACGTCTAGCTCTTCGGGCTCGCGCTCACATTCCCGTCCACATCCTATATCCATATACCCTATTGTAGAAGTGGAGAGGGATGAATTATACTCGGCAAGCTCTGACGCTGCCTCTCGACGTTCCGCGTCTCGCGCTCAGCGTTCCCTTTCCCGAGCGCCATTACCGGCTCGGAGGTCTTCATCACAGAGAAGTGGACCACCTCGTCCTTCATCTCCAGTTTCCGCTCTCGATTCGTCGATTCTCAGCCTTGCATCTTTATCCAGCAATTCTTCTGCGTCTTCGTCAGAGCCTCTCGAGCCCGACTATCAAGTCCGACTTTCTCCCTCGCCGCTGCGTGGTATCGAAGAGCGAGGCCGCCGCTTGAAAAAGTCTTCCTACTTTACTTCAATGTCGAGGTCTCGCAGTCCCAGCGTCTTACCCTCTACGCCGATCGATATAAGGCCAAGGTTCATATCCCCTTCTCCTCTTACCGAAGAGCGCGCAGAAGGCTCTAGGACCAACTCGAGGAGTATACCAAGAGGACGAATTCGGTTTTCCCGTTTCGCTGCTCAGCATCAAACAAAGTCCGGTACACACACCCCACTGGACAGTCGGGGTCACACTCCGGAGGTGTTCACCGAAGAGGAAGGACAGGAGGAATCAAGGTGGCACATCCCTGCTGACGAAGACGGGTTAGACCAGGCTGATGACGATGGTATAAACGAAAGCTCGCATGTGCCAGGAATGGCTATGGATCAAGATTACTTGACCTCAGCGGATTCCTATTTTAACCACAACATATCTCCTCCTCCACCATCTACTCGGCCGCTGTTCCGTCATAACCCGGTCAGCATTGTACAATCCAAGAGCGAGGGTAGTGGAAGTAGTAGCGGAAGTAGTAACGGCTTTGGTCTCGATTCAGCACCTACTCACCACATCGAAGATTCCATGCGCACAAATCACGATTCTTTCGCAGCTCGCAGGGGACATCTTAGCTCTTCGTTAGAGCGTACTCATCACCTACACCAACATCAACTACCACATCTGCACCAACACAATCGTCATTCCAAAGTCCACTTAGACCTTCATAATTCCTGTCAACCGCACAATATCAAGCATAAACGCGCTGGAAGTACCCCTCCAGCGCCTCTATCAGATGGCGGACACGCCAGTGCGCTGCGATTCTCGGAAAACAAGAGACATTCACACTCTACCTCTCATACTCCGTTCTCTTCCAACTCGCAGCTAAATTCGCATTCCAGCTCTCGGACGTCATTTCAACTTTCACCTGAGCAGTTAGAGGCGACCAATAGGGCTGTCGTCCTGGGTGCAACAGTTACGCCTGTGGTTGTAACCGGCTTCACTGCCTTTTCAACAGCGGAAGGCACATAAGCTCACTACTGTATTTCATCTTGTTGAAAAAAGTATTCTCTTCTTACATAACTTATTTCCCCTTCCGCACCTCCTGCTCTTACTGTATACTATCTCACCTGCAGCGGTTTTTTCGGTTTCCATTTTGATGGTCTTTCACTTGCGCTGTCCTCTTTCCTGCTACTGTTGCTTGCTCTTTCGTAGTTGTACGAAGTAGCAGTGACTCCGACTTCGGATACCCATAGCAATCTTTACGATCTTCACGCTTGTAAACCCTACATGTACACTGTATGCATCACTACTCTATCACTTTGTATTCCTGTAGCAATACTATGAGTATGATTGGAAGAAAATCTGCGATGTTCGGTGCCGGTGAATTTCTACATAAACACTTTACTGTTATCGAATTCAGGTAGGGATAGGTTTCGGTCTTGTACAAGTACATACAGATACATTTCTTTCTTCTCCATGCGCTAAGAACCAGAACTAAACCGACAGTTTGATAGCTGTAAATTATACTGAGATGTGAGAAATACAATTTCGAAAATTTACTTACGCTCCGAACCAACTTTGGGAGGTGGTTTGGGAGGTGGACTACTAAATTCCTGCAATTGTATATCCGTCTTCGATGGCTGGGCGTCATTTACTATCATTCGAGAGAATGATACGTTGAGTGATCTATTATTATTTGTCATCGGAATTGGGGCACCAGAGGGTTCAGTTGTAGACTGCTCCGAATTGACCAGTACGATGATAAAGGTCGGATAAATACCCTGCTCATGTCCAATATTAGTAAGGGAAATAAAGGTTTCAGGTCAATAATACGCGCAACAATGATACTTGAAATGTTATCGAATATGGTCAAGGCAAATACTGCGCCAGGATGTTCTGTAATGGCCGCATTGACAGAGGAGACGCTGATAAGCATTTGGGCCAGCTACAAACGCCAAACTAGAGTCAAGAATAAACGAGCAAACGCATTCCTAATGAACTCACAAAAAATAAGAGGTAAAGCACTCCCGACTCCACTAGAACTACTAGCTTGCTTTTTCTATGCCTTCGAGAGAAGAGTAACTTATTTGCTTGATGATATCTCCTAATTCGAGTCAGGTGGTGAGCAATCTTTTATATCGGTAGGGTTTTGTGTTGTTTTACCATGCTTTGAGTCCGATGAGAATGGTAGCAAACAACGTCGTAGCCACTGCAGTGCCATATGAAGCTGTCTGAATGTTTCTGCAGAAGGCTGGCTTTTGAAATGTCCCAAGGATGATCTCGGACCCCAGATGGGCCACACAGTACGTGAGCATAATACTGACAACTGCAAATGGATTCAAGTTAGCGAGATATTCTAGGTCTTGAATGCACTCACTGAAGGAGCCAAGCAGCATTAAAGTAGGAATAAGGACCAAAAGCTTTAATCTCTCCGTTGACCAGAAAACATATACACGCCAGATGATCACGGCGTCTCCAATGATACTCTACGCAAGTTGTGAGGGGTTTTCTAGCATAAGAAGGTATAATTAACGTCTTACCATGTATGAGTAAAGCATCGCTTGAATAGCATTTCGGCGGAAGATAAATTCTTGAGCAGCATCGTACTTTGAGGATAGATTACCATCAGGGTTGTCAATTAGCGTAATTCTGGCTTCCCCAACTGCATTGATGCAGTCGATAATCCACTCAATGAGAGCTAGAAGGAAAAGTAGAACAATGATCCCCAGATGCACTCTGACTGTATAACTCTTCGTCCTTCCGCTAGATATCGGAGCTTCAGCCGGTAACTCTCCTTTATAGAAAAGCCACATACTAAAGCATGTTTATTGCTTTAGATACCAAAACCGCATATATAGCTGTTGATCCGAGCAACCGTCAGGAAATTATAACTGGAATGTAAGACGAACACACCGATGAGAAAGGTTTCAATGGAGACAGCGACAAACGACCGTACAAAGTCATGTCCAACGGTGTCTAAGGAAGAGATCACGTCCGAGGTGGTGTCCATTATGAGATGGTTCGCAGTTACCTCGTCCAATTGGTGGGCTTTAAATATCGGAGGCTTTAAGGAATACGGGAGGGGCTTGATGAAAATGAGTCCAAGGAGAGATTGTGAGTCGGATAGTAACATAGCAATGAGTATCAGCAAAAGATATCAAGAAAAGATTCAGATGACTTTGTGAATACGAGTAGCTGTGGGACCATCAAGCAAAGTTCCAACGGATGGGATAGACCTAGTATGCTGCTTTGATAATCTGTAGTGTCATGGAGCACCTTCGAACTGCTTGTGATGTTTCGATATCCTTGAGCGGGCACGGAAACCGCTTGATCATCTTGAGTGAAAGAAACAGTGATGAAAAATCAATGAAAATAGTGCCCATTTCAGTGAAAAGAGCATTATATTTCTTTTCGAGGTGCGTGATAAGTACTACCTTTTTACGTCCCAGCTCAGAGAACAGGTCTTGAGTTGAGAGTCGCTTGAACTGAATTAGACTTTCGCTGATTTCAAGTTCAAGTCGGTCTGCGAAAAAGGTTGGGGATTAACAATGAAAGGGCCCGGTGCTTTGTAAATTGTGGACTTTGAAGTTTGGAGTTTGGAAGAATTTGGATCAGTCGGCGGTTAAAGAGAGATTAAGCATGACACATTGTAGTTGGCCTTGCATGAGGTCAAATTCTTCCAGCCTGGTTCGCCTGGATACAGTAGAAAAGTTTATCATCCCTGTGAAGGTTGGCCAAAAATGAAAATGAGTTTGAAGGTAGTCAAAGCTTGGCGTTAATCTGCAAACAAGTCCCTGGTAGTATATCGGTTAGTACACGCGCTTGTCATTCGTGTCTGTCTTTCTTAGTAACCGCGCGAAAGCTGGGTTCGACTCCCAGCCAGGGAGTAAGATATCTTTCTTTTATATGTTGTTTTTTTTTCGAACGATAGCTCTCAGATCATGATTTTGTTGCAGTTTATCACATCGCTTCAATTATATGTGCCGAAACGAGTAAACTATCCTATCTGTACTGTGGGCAAGTACATAAAATACACAGGCCCCAGAGGACATCTCATCGAAGATTTTTACTGTCCTTAGGTATCGTGAAAAAGCTACGAGGTCATTAGAAGAAAAAAAGTTCATAAAAGAAACTATGTGAACAATCCATTACTCCAATTCACCACTCGAATTAAAGGGAAAATCAAGAACCACAACACCCGCTACAACATTCGAATCAGCCGCCGACGAACTACTGTTCGTCAAAACAGCGTAAGACGTTCCCATCAAACTAGAAGGAACGGTCACCTCGCCATTCTGTACCTGCACAAAGATCGGTGCCAATCCACTAAAGAACGCAACGTAATTGCCCTCGGTAGTGATACCGCTTGCAGCAGTAACGGCGGAACACTGGCCGGGTTTCGGTGAAGCGATGGTGAACGAAGGGAAGGCTTGGACTGGGAGTGAAGGGTTCGACGAGGGACAACTGGTAATGAACGAGGCTGCGAGCGTGTAGACGGTGTCAAGCGAGAGAGGAGTGTCGAGAGGACCAGACCAAGGGTTCTGATGTAGAAGAGTAGACTCAACCCAGGCTTGGTGGCGAGCTTCGGTGGAAAGAACAGCAGCAGCAGCGGTGAGGTACTCCTTGTTCGAGATATATTGTGCTGCACCTGCGTAAGCACTAACACCAACGCCCTCGAGAATCGAAGAGAGTGCGACGAAGGATTTGGGGTCCGTGTACGGGCTGGAGCGAGAAAAAAGTCGTTAGGATTGACATTGAACAAATGAGAAAAAGGCTTACAAGTTGTACGTGCAAGGCTGAGTCGCTTTGTCGCCCAACGCATTACTCAAAAACGCGACGTGAGCTGCTTCGTGCTGACCAATTTCTACAATACGACCTCTCGCCCAGGCCGGAAAGCCAGCGTTGACAAAGTCTTCCTGAGTATATTTGCTCAGAGCTCCGGAATAAAAGGCGTTTTCGAGATGTTCGAGGGTGAGAGCATAGTTGAGAACGATAGTATCGTCAATGCCGTTCGAGTCTCGCGCTTCAGGTAGGACATGACTCGACGCGACACCGAGAAAAGCAGCGAGAGAAATGAAAGAAGTCGAGAGCTTCATAGTCGTAGTAGTGATGGTCTTGAAGAAGAATAGTGGGAGAATAAAGCGAGAATAGTTGTCTTTTATAGGAGTTTCTGGCTTGCTGGGCGAGAGGAGTGAGCGATCGGTCATGACGCGTCTCGGTCTTCTCGGATATCGCGCCAGTCATTGTGACCTCGATCGTGGCTTGGAAGTTGGTAATTATTGAGAAAAAGAAAATGGTTCGACTTTCGAGCTACTGATTAACAGGAGAAAACGTCAAAGTTGAACGACGTGAAATGCTCCGAGAATGAAGCTCCAATTCGCATAGAAAGCCACTCCGAATTAGGCCTGAAGCGGAAGCGGGATCAGAAAAACGAACCGAACAAGCTCCATGTCTCTCAAAGTTGAATGTATGTCTCGCGGAGCCTACATTTGGGTCCATCAATACCCAACAACTGGGTCGAAAATCGGAGGATTTCAACGAAGGAGAAGTAAGGGCTAAGGAGAACAGTCAGTATAAACAGTATGCTTCTTCGAGTTGACCTGCCATGCCAAATACGCAACACGAACTGTCTTGAATCTTCGTCATACGTCTCACCGAGCAGAGCAGCAACGAAGTGGCTCGGAATCTATAAGCTAGTAGCATCGGGTCAAGAAACGTTCGCCTCGGAATGGACGCCACACCCGAAGAAGCTGGCCGAAGAGTTGAAACTGACACGGGTTCAGAAATCAGTACCAGCAAGGAGAGAAATCCATAACATACCTGATCCAGCATCCGTCGAAGAGGCTGAGTAGATTGAATAGCATCGTCGACCTTGGCTGAGACTTGGGGAAGAAGCCTGGAATCGCCTACGTAGATGAACAACATGTAGTCATCCAAATCCGCGAACGATTCTGTGGAATCTCTGGAGGAGTTGGGGACGGAGTTGGAGATTCAAATCGAAGAGCTGGCTCGGAACATCAACGCAGAGAGGACTAGAAGTACAAGTCACGATAACGCGGTAGAAATAGTATAATTCAGCATACCTAAAGACTATACCCGACTGCTTGGTTTGCTTCTAATAGTCCAGTGGACCAACGAGCTCGACTAGAACTTGGTCTAGAGGTAATATGGAGACCCCAATACAACGACTTCTAGTCCGCGTTGGGCAACGGACAGCTATCAAAGCACCAGAGTCAGCAAGAAAGAAAGGTAAAAGCATAATTTTCGCACCATGAAGACAGATATCTTGATTCAACCGTAAGAACTTGAAAATCATTGCGTAGATGAAAGTCTGCGATCGTCAGACTCAGGAAACGATGTTGTCGAATGTGAACTGAAGCTGACCCAAAAGTTCCGCGACTAATTGGGCTATAGTATTAAAAAAGCAAGGAAGAACCCGTGATTCAGCTTGGTGATAAGTCCTACTTGATAGTACCGTTATTAGGAAGAATCCGAACATGAATTGAGCTTACCTGCCAAAAGAGCTAATCGCAAAACTAGGCGACAGTAGCAACTGATAATAACAGTGAGATCTAAAAGTCTGCGGAATCACGCAAACTTGTACCAGCAACGTCCAACAATCTTCAAAATAATACAAAATTGGGAAGAGATGCAGACGCCTGAAACCATTGAGAAAGTGAGAAGATGAAAGAAGCGATACTCAGCGCTCAAAGTATAGTTGGGCGCCTAACTGCCAGCAACGCGATTTCTTCTCAACGACCAGCAATGAATCCAATCTCATCCACTGGTGAACTTTCGGGCTTCGATATTACACAATCACCCTTCTCCTCTGTTATCCAAACCAACTATGTTCCATCTCAGGAAGATCTTGTACATTTAGAAGTTCTTCTTGCCGAACCACAGTTGCAACTTGCTCAGTTGGAATCGGAGATCGCTCGTGTGCAGGCCCTGCTGGAAAGTCTCTTCCGGAAAAGGAACTCCGTGAAGGAATACATCGAGGCCCATCGAGCATTGATGTCTCCGATACGCCGTCTTTCTGCGGAGACTCTCTCGGAAATCCTTGTTCATTGTCTTCCAGGGGACCGATATGCAGTCAGGGACATAACAGAGGCGCCTCTGCTTTTTACAGGAGTTTCTCGAGAATGGAGACAAACCGCTGTCAGTACTCCTGCATTGTGGAAGTCACTGCATATATTCCTCCCCTCACATTTGACCCCCGAAGCTCTCGAGAGAAGAGCTACAGGCTCTGCTCTTTGGTTAGAACGTTCTGGGTCGCTTCCGATATCGATTTCACTTTGCATACACTTCCGGTACCAGTACCGAGGACAGCAGATCGTTATCTCCGAGTCTGACTCCTTAGCTATACAAGGCACACATAGATTCATGGCCGAAACCTTTTTGAATTCAGCAGTAGAGTCCAGGAGCTGACTTTCTCGGGGTGCTTTCCCGAGATGAATGCTCACCTCGACCAAATATCCTCACATAATTTCCCAATCTTAACCTTTTTTTCCATTCAAAGTACAGCAATGGGAAGAATCTCTGAGGGTGAAGGTCTTCCATTTGCCTCTGTTGTTCGACAGATGCCCACTTTGAAATATTTGGCAATGCACGACTTCAGTCATCTGGGCAGACAGTACACTCGGTTGGAGTTGGATTGGGAGAATCTGACTGAGCTCACATTAAGACCTCAGCCTAGCTCCTATCGTGAAGCCATTCCCCAGTTCTCTCCAGGTGAAATCCAAACCATCTTGCGACGCACTTGCCGCTTGCAATCAGTCACCCTGCTCATTGACATATCTGAATGGGATCATGCTAGCACCAACAACACTGCCATGGTCAACCTTCCCGCCATGCGTGACATGCATATCACATTCACACACCCCCGGCGGAACCAAGATCTTTCGCTTTTAAAGACATTTTTACCAAACTTCTTTCATTCAATCCTTTGTCCATCCTTGAAAAAACTATCTGCCTCATGGAAGGTTTTGGGGGGAACGGCTCTAACACAGGTGCCTTTCTCTGCATTGGTCTCACTGCAGGAAGTTGAGGTACTGTCATTAGAGATGCCATTGACACCAAGGGCATTGCTGGACTGCCTCTTACTTATGCCAAGCCTTAGGTCTTTGGAAATTGTCAGGCTTCAGCAGGACTGTGACAATAGATGAAGGAAATGAATCTCAGGGCATTCCACCTTTGCACTCTCATGCCATTGATGTCATGGTTCTTACAAGCCTTGCTTCCAACTCACCTGTAGAAGGTGATTATACTCCACTACAGTGTTCCAATCTCCAGCATATCAAATTCAGCTTCAGAGATAACAAGTCTTCCAATATAATCAAGAGGTATTCAAGAATTTAGGCACCCATATGACCTTAGGGGGGGGGGGGGGGGTGGGGTCTGAATGGTCCTTAAATCTGAAAGGTTTTTAGTGGTATACAGCCATTTACACCAGGTTTGACAGCTCAGATTAGCTTTTTTTTTGACTTGGGTGAGGAAGGAATTGGGAAGCTTATAACCATCTATATATAAGGAGATTTCCCTTGTTCAGAGGACTTGGCCATGACTTGGTCACAACTTGGTTGTGAAATTTCTGCACAAAATGACCCAATGCACAATTTAAAGGTGTGCATTTGTGTATGTGGTAATGATATGTCAATGTGGAATGGTTGCTAAATGCTTGTAAGGTATTTTGAGAAAATTTTTGGAACAATCTGCCTTGAAAAACCATCTTATTGTGGGAAATAATTTCCCTATATGGCAGGTAGGAGGGAGGGGCCTATGAGTGACCTTAAAGCTGAAATACAAGGTCATGTATAGATTTAATTTTTTGAACACCTCTTGCATATAATGCTCTCCTGGCCTTCCTTGAAAGCCATGTTCAGATGAA